GGGAAAGAGAATCCAGAACCTATAGAAACTCCCTTCAAGACCTGCTAAATACCACTTGCTGGTTATGTGTAGCATTTATAGCTACTAACCTGATGAGCTTAAATCAGCTAACGCTGGTGATTTAGGGTAAAGTTACCTATTACAATTTGATCAGATATGATGGCTTACTGCCACAGAAAAGCTTACTTCCCATTCTTCACTGCCTTCTGCTTCCCCCAATCCCTTTTAAACATAAGGCAGGTGCGGGGCTGAGGAGTGGCAATTTTTTGTCTGCCATCATACACTAAAATTCTTACACTTCTTGATCTTGAGATCTTTCCTTTATTTTAAATGTTGCATGAGTACAATGTTCCTTGAAGAGATTTTCTTTTCCAATTAGCTAACATTAGACTATTTCTGTATTACTTGAGTAAGTTTTAATGCTGGGGGTTTGGCTTCTGAAATTCCTATTTTCTTCTCAAATCTTTTCATGCACCAGTTTTGGTAACAAATTAATGTTATTCCAATCAGTTCTGCTTATATGAATTTTATGTTTTCAAGTGCATCTGTCCCATTCAATGTAAAACTAACAAAAAAGAATCTCTATTTCAGTACATTTTAAAACTAATCTTTTGACTGAAGGCAATTATATTCCATCAGTTTTATGGATTCTCTTCTGTATATGCAGTTGTGGATCTGCTGGATGTGTGATATAAACATGGCAACTTCAAGTGCTAGCTTTCACAGAAACTTGGTGAAATCATTTCCCCTAGATAATGATATCACTTTATGTCTAGATCACAGCAATGCTGAAGGAATTGATAATAGAAATTCAAAACTAGCAAATGTTTGTAATGTACAATGTTTAACTAGCATTACAGTTTCTATAATAACGAAGTCCTACCTTGAAGTTTATCTGCCCATTGGGCAAGCGGTTCGTATGTATTTTGTGCAGAAAGTAGATATCTTTAATAAACAGGTTGAAAACTGGGATGACTATTTTCTCTCGATTGCTGTTGGCAGTCTGAGATCGCTGTGCTGCTCCTTGCAGGGCTGTGCGGTAATTACAAAAGTTGCTGGATGGATCCATGTGATGCTGTTTTTATAGGGGGGGGAAAAAAAGGCAGTCAAGTAATACGTGTTTCCTAAATATAAAAGCTTTTGATCTAACCATCAGAAAGTTCATTCTTTCTGAATTTTTTGGGCCCCTTTTTAAACTTTCAAGATAGAGTACCTTATACTGATCAGGTCTGCATTCGTGTTTTTCTAATTTCTATCTTGTTTGAAAGGAGGGTTCTGTACTGGCTTTACATCTATGCTTTGCTTCAGTGGTTAACAGAAGACTGAAAGGAAATGATAAATGACTATCAGGAAAAAATCTAACTTGCTGTCACCAATCTTTCTGATGACACTTTCAATTAAGTTTTGTTTTCATTCAGATCTCCACTAGATGGAGTACTCTAATTAGTTTTAAGGGTAGCAAAATGGCATTCACTTGAGTGAAAACTACCCTGATGTTAAATTGGAAGAAATATGCTAGGAAGAAATAACGTAAGAAAACTTGCATCCACTTTTCTTTGCAGGCAAGCAGGGAGTTTGAAATTCAGGAAATGTTCTCCCTAACGTTTATATGCTGGTGACCACTGACAGAAGTGCCTCTGTGATCTCTGACTTAGTAATTCCACAGCAGAGGTTTGGATGAAACTATTTGGTGGATTTCTGTATAAAGTCTAAACTTTATACATACCTCTAAAACATCAAATTTGGCTGTTTTGACCTTGGACCAAGTTTTCTTTAGCCGTGCCACGGGACTCAAATTCATGCCAGCTGAATGGAGAGAGAAGAAATAAAGAAACAACTGAGTTGAAAAAATATCGGGCTAACATAACTCTGTGTTTATGTCTCAGCACAACACGTTTATTTTGGAAGGCAGTTCAGCTTGACAAACAAAAGTTGTAGCTGACACTCACCCACCCACACATTAATCTGTCACTGGTACATACGGCCCCTGCAGAAGTGTGCACGCTGATGTGGTCAGCCAATTCAGGGCAAGCGTGAGCATAGTCTTGCCAGTCAGGCTGTAAAATGAAGTGCCTTTTATCATCTGTGTTAAGGATACTCACAGATAATAGCCATCATTGAGTTGAAGTTTCCAATGTTGAAGCATTCTCTTGCCACATCAATGAAAAATTCCACCATTCTTGTACGCTGCTTTTTCTTTACAACCTGAAAAAAACCCAAGATCTGTTAAGAAGGAAGGGATGGCCTGGATTTTGGATGGGATGTTCAGTCAAAGGCATTGTAACAGGTTGATTGAATAGACATTTCAAGACTTTATCCAGCTAAATCTTACGATGATATAGGCTTGAGGGTATTTTGTTAAGATTAATTTTTAATAAAATAGTAGAAGTATTTGGGGCTACTATGAATTATTTTTCTAGTTGTGGGGGAGTGTAAATTTTTGTTTATACATAAAGTTCAATGTCTTGGGGAATCTTGTATAAACAAGCCGGACGCTTTCAGCAATTTCCTGTTACTGGAAAAGGGAGATGACATGAAGCTGCTATTAGAAAGAATACATGCAAAAAATTTAAACCTCTGAAGAAGAAGGGAAAGCAGTGAAAAGACTTAAGACCAGAGTCATGTAACCTGAATGTGAGAGAGAACAATTGTCATGTCCTGATCTTCTCATTTTACTATGTGTACTCTTAAATGACCTCTTGAGAGCAGGTAGTGATGATGATCAAATATACAAATTCCCACTCATGCAAACATGCAAAGGAGCTAGCAAGGCATGCTGAACATCTGCTTTGCAGATTTTTTTACAAATGGCAAAGCAAAATTAATATACAGTGCTGTCTCCAAAAGCCATCAATCTTTTGCGTTTTTTTTTAAAAGCTAGTTTTATTGCCTAGATTACATTCATTCATCAAAATCTTTCTCATATTTAGATCTAGAAGTTCAGTCTGGCTTATACAAAAATGGCTCCTGAGTGGTGACTGCAGACAACTTCACTAGGGAATGCCCTTTTTCTTTTTTTAAAAAAAAAAAAAAAATCCTTTCCAATATACAGTGCTGTCTCCAAAAGCCATCAATCTTTTGCGTTTTTTTTTAAAAGCTAGTTTTATTGCCTAGATTACATTCATTCATCAAAATCTTTCTCATATTTAGATCTAGAAGTTCAGTCTGGCTTATACAAAAATGGCTCCTGAGTGGTGACTGCAGACAACTTCACTAGGGAATGCCCTTTTTCTTTTTTTAAAAAAAAAAAAAAAATCTCTTGCCTAAATACTTCAGTTTCTGTGTCATATCAAAAGAAAATGGTTCAGTAGTCAATGGCTTGGCTTAGCCCTTGGTATGCTAAAACGTTTTGTTTGCCTGGTTTACTAAATGTATTAGCCATACCAGCCAGCTCTGGAAGATATCTTGGTGTTTTTGTAATAAGTTTCTGTGAGAGCAAGAAATCTTAAGAGATTAAGATCAATATATCAGACTTCATAAAACTGCAGTAGGCATCTGGATTTCCACAGAAGGGCTACTGACGAAGCAGGAATAGAGAGAAAACTTCCCACTTGCTAGAATTGGTGCATATTAATAGGAATCTAAAAAGACAGAGAATAAGCATGCAAAAAAAAAGAAAAAAAGGGTTTCTGGGCCAGTATACCTTCTATTTCTTTGCTTATTATATGATAGAAGTTACTTAAACCTCTAATAAGGCTGCTCTCCCTCTTTATTTTTTTTTTTAACCTCTCCAGTAGTCTATTTTCTTTCCAGACTTCTGAAGATAGTTTGTTCCTGATTTTTCTACAAAAAAATGAACATATGATAGTGCTAATGATATCTAAATGCAGCCGAAGGACAGCTGTTTAGTGGTAAACCTGCATTTAAAGATTAGTATCTTTGAGAATTTATGGATGTATTAAAAAAAAAAAATATCCAAAAGGGCTCCACACTCAAACTCCATACAAGTTCCATTTCACTGTGTGACTAATGCTAATATGAAAGCTACACAAAACTAGAGAATATATGCAAAGTCCAACACAGCCATGAATTCTTAATCATATAAGCATGCAAATAATTTAATGCTTGAGTAATGCCATTATCTTTAATTGCACTGCTAATGTTTAAATCCCTATTAGACCACTGCCTGCCTTTTGTCCTCAAGGCTGGGATCACTTTGCTATCTTGTTTTCTACGAATACCTACCCGACAAATCTCTGTAGCCACCAGCATGCTGAGACAATTGAACCAATTGTCATAGGCCTCCAAATTATAGGTTTTGGTCACATCGCCTCGGCACTGTAAAAGAACAGGCTACATGTTAATCCTATCCTGCATCATGATAAAGTCAACATACCAAAGGATAAACTTCCTTTTCATGTCTTGATAAAATCTGGTTAGGTATTTTTTAAGGCATGAGCTTAAAGAAGGTTAGAAAATGTCAGCCTTTCTTGCACAGGGTATACTCAAATCATGGAGGTTCTTCACCCTGGTTATTCTTTGTTTCTTTTTTCCTCTGTACCCCTCTTGTACCTTGTGATTATCCAGGGAGTCCATGTGGCTGACAATCTGCATCAAATCCTCCGGGTAAATGTTGCTCACCCTTTCCTGTGTTTGGAGAGATAAGAGATTGTCACTGTACAGAAAAACAGGGAGTTCAGTGAAAAATGCATCAATAAACCCAAAGTTAGGAGAACATTTTTGTAACTTTTACCTTCCTACTACGTAGATGTGCGAGGTGTTTTTATCAGTGTACCTACTTGGTCTTGTTCATTACTTGATATTTTTTGATTAAAACATTGGAGTCTTTCAGTGAAGCCATAGCAAAATTCATATTGATGAGTATATTAATATTTAGTAAATGGAAAATGAACACACAAATTAGTGTCTCACCAGTTCGATATAGGTCAGCTGCTGTGCCAAGATCAGAGGGTCACAGCACACACTCAGGATGTCCTTTTGAGTTGACTGTGGCTTCGTTTTGAGGATGGTGCCTTTGTCGCTAACAGGCTGCCGGAATTTCTCTCTGATTTCCTGGTACTGGCTCCGTGCGGAGAGAGCCATCAGGAGATTCTGTGTCATCTGGCTAATGATCTTTTTCACTGTTCCATTTTCCTAAGCAAAGGCAGAAACAATGACTGTTAAAAACATTTAGCTCTTGCAGACACAGATAGTCAAGGAACTTCTGACTGGGAAAAATTAAATGCTTATTACCATTTTCTTTCATCTTATCTGAGCTGATCATCCTGTGACAAATGAACTTGGCCTAACTGCCCACTCAACGTCATAACGACATTGTTATGCCTGCCTGCCTTCCCAGCTCTGTTTCACTTGCTTGGCTGGTCCGCTCCTTGCGGCAGTTTTTGGCTAGTACCCCATTTCAAAGGCATCAGGGTAAACAGCTAAAAAGTGGGTATAGTGAAAGGTGGCTGAGTTGCTTGCACAAGGCTTCTTGGAACCTCTGTGTACCAAGTGCCAAAAAGCTCTTCTTCTGATCAGACTCACTGATGATCAAGTCTATCTAGCCCAGGCAGAATCCAGGGAATTCACATTATGTCCAGGAATACACCTCTAAAATACCCCAGCTTGGCTTTGAACAATTATAGCATCCAAAGATTTAGGTAAGAGCACAATATACCTCATGTTCTTGGACAACTAAAATGCCTTACTGTTTATCAGGTGCAGATTTTAAACATAGGATCTATAAGGATATATACTGCTAAAGCCACAAAAATATAATCCATCCACTCAGCATTCTGACAACGGAGGCAAGCTGAATTCTTTCTGCCGTTGACTGTTTGTGTCCTACAGACATTTCTCTGAGGTCAACCCTGAAGAGTGAACTTGATCACTTTCCTACTCCTCCATCCCTCCTGTTACTGCTTTAAATGACCCTGGTTCTCCAACCCTCTTCTTCCTGCTGCTGGAAAAACTAGTTCTACCAAAGACAGTCTTCCTTCTCCTTCCTACACAATTGTTCTCTTGCTTTCATGCAAATTATTTCTCTTGAAGTTAGCCACAAGGTTAACCGTTAGTTTACAACCTGCTGTGTTGGTTTCTGCCAGTCAACTGGATACACTAGAAAGAACTGCAATGAATCTGTGATAGTTCAAAGAAGCCACTAATGTGCAGTGATGACTGAAATTATGTAGCAGATGTGAGAGACGATGACTACCAAATACTTGTATATTGCATGCTATAATTAAGCAATAATAGTGTCAGAATGTTGCTTTACAAGGCAATAATCTGACTCCCAAGTGAAATCAAATGAAAAGCTGAAGGCAGTGTAGCTCATCTTGATGAGGCAACTGGATTACCGCTGAACAGCAGCTGGCTGGAGCCATTTCAGATATTGTGCTGCAAGTGTTCAGAAATGCCAAGGGACCGTGGTGGGGGGACTAAAATAAAGCGCTAATTCTGCTCTCTGGTATGCTGAGCTTTCTGTTGTAAATCATTTGACTTCAGCCTGACTTACCCATGTGTCTGGGAGGAGGCAGTATTTCTAGATATGGCTCATAGAGAATCAAACTTGAAGGCAGGTGAGAGTATCACAGGTATTACATGAAAGTGAACACAGGAACTGCAGTGCCATGAAAAACTATGGCTTACTTAAGCTATTGTGAATTTATTAGCATCTTAATATTTAGACAAATGCCCTTAGAGTTTTAGCAGTTTCCTTTCATTACTAGTCTTTCTTACCCTAAATTTTCTTACAACTTTGGAAAATCAGTCAATGAGTGTACAATAATTTGTCCTTGTTTGAGTTCAAACAAGACATTTGTACTCCATTTGGGGTGCAACCCTGGCTGTAGCTGTAGCTATTTGGTATGCTGCCTAATATCACTAGGACAAGCACCTGACTGCTTTGTGCGAGTTCTCAGTTTACCTTCTATCCTACCTATGAAGAATAGTGCCCAATGGGATTTGGAAAAGCTTTAAAATACAAAATAAAACCTCAAACCACTACCATAATCCCTTGCTGAAGCACAGTATGAGTAATTTCTTGTGGTAACAAATACTGAGAGCAAGAGCTGCTTTTTGTCAGTGTCAAATTATGTTTCCTAGGGGTCAGATGTGGCATAGCTCTTCACTGATCAAACTTGACTTGTAGCATTGTTAAGGGGATAAATACAATAATGCTGTAATTAATGGATGTCATCAGATGCCTCGGACACCAGAACACTGAGCCACTCCATGAAGACGTTTTTTTTTTTTTTTCTCAGATGACATTTTATTCATACATAACAGAGTGGGAGAGAAGGGG